GCCTCCTTCGCCACCCGACTTTCATCTTCGGCAACCAGGTTCGCTTTATATTACAAGTTCTTTTTTTGTTTTTTGTTTTTTATTCCTCCTCCTCCTTCCCCCCCTCCCAATTCCCCAACCATCCCGCTTCCCGTACCATCATCGGCCGCCTGCGTCATCGCCAAGATCTTCACCGGCTCGTCTTTCGCCCGTTCCCTGCGAACCCTGGGTAGAACATCTTCCTCATCTACTCTCATCTCATTTTTACTCGATTTTCCGGGCCTAATTTTCTTACTCGTTCTTTTTCTACCCTTTCTTTCTTTCTTTCTTTCCTTCTTTCTTTCTTTCTTTCTTTCTTTCTTTCTTTCTTTACTCTCCTCTCCTCTCCTCGATTCTTTCTTTCTTTCCCCCATCCGCGTTTTCTGCTATATTTATTTATTTCTTATTTTCTTTTTTTTTGTAATATTTCACCCAAGTGTCTTTCTTTCTTTCTTTCTTTCTTTCTTTTTTTTTCTTCTCCTCGATTCTTTCTTTCTTTCTTTTGTCGTAATATTTCACCCAACTACGTTCTTTCTTTCTTTCTTTCACCCGCGTTCTCCTGCTATATTTCTTTCTTCCTTTCTTTCTTTCTTTCTTTCTTTCTTTCTTTCTCTTCTCCTCGATTCTTTCTTTCTTTCTTTTGTCGTAATATTTCACCCAACTACGTTCTTTCTTTCTTTCTTTCACCCGCGTTCTCCTGCTATATTTCTTTCTTTCTTTCTTTCTTTCTTTCTTTCTTTCTTTTGTCGTAATATTTCACCCAACTACGTTCCTTCTTTCCTTCTTTCTTTCTTTCTTTCTTTCTTTCTTTCTTTCTTTTGTCGTAATATTTCACCCAACTACGTTCGTTCTTTCTTTCTTTCTTTCTTTCTTTCTTTCTTTCTTTCTTAAAAGCGTTCTCCTGCTATATTTCTTTCTTTCTTTCTTTCTTTCTTTCTTTCTTTCTTTCTTTCTTTCTTTTGTCGTAATATTTCACCCAACTACGTTCCTTCTTTCTTTCTTTCTTTCTTTCTTTCTTTCTTTTGTCGTAATATTTCACCCAACTACGTTCGTTCTTTCTTTCTTTCTTTCTTTCTTTCTTTCTTTCTTTCTTTCTTAAAAGCGTTCTCCTGCTATATTTCTTTCTTTCTTTCTTTCTTTCTTTCTTTCTTTCTTTCTTTCTTTTGTCGTAATATTTCACCCAACTACGTTCATTCATTCTTTCTTTCTTTCTTTCTTTCTTTCTTTCTTTCTTTTGTCGTAATATTTCACCCAACTACGTTCCTTCTTTCTTTCTTTCTTTCTTTCTTTCTTTTGTCGTAATATTTCACCCAACTACGTTCCTTCTTTCTTTCTTTCTTTCTTTCTTTCTTTCTTTCTTTCTTTTGTCGTAATATTTCACCCAACTACGTTCATTCATTCTTTCTTTCTTTCTTTCTTTCTTTCTTTCTTTCTTTTGTCGTAATATTTCACCCAACTACGTTCATTCATTCTTTCTTTCTTTCTTTCTTTTCTTTTTTCTTTTTTTCTTTATCACCGTTCTTCTGACATTTGTTTTCCTTCTTCATATAATATTATCTTTTTCGTTCGCTTCGCATTAATTTGAATAAGGTATGAACCCATCTTCATCTTGTCATGGCAGATTACTAGGGCAGACTGGGCCCTAGTAGTCTTGGTAGGGCAGCTAGTATAGAAAAAGAGGATGGCATTTGGGATAAACCGTGAAAACAAACCAATCAATCAATAATCCGGATTTATCACATTAGTACATTAGGTTAAGTTTCAAATTCCTTGAAGTTTACTCGGAACAACTGAAGAAGGCTGAAGGACTCAGTGGTCGAAACGTTGTAATAGCAACAACATAACAATGCAGTATCTGTGATTTAAATGTCTGAGTTGGTATACGTGTTAATATCAGTGAAGGTGTTGCTTTTTCTCAGGAGAAAAGCTTTATAAAACCGATAGATTTGTGAAGGCTTAGAATTAGGGATTACCCAATCTTAGTAGGTCTCCTTTCAGGGTGTAGGGGATCATAGCTCTCCACGACTTCCTGTCTTTCGTAGCTCTTGATAAATGTACTTTTTTGTTATCTCTCTTAAACCTTCTTCCTCCATTCATTTACCCGAGCTAATTCTTCTATATGCCGTGTCCCTTCAGGTCGTAGGCGGTCATGGCTATCCGCGCCGATAATGATGACTGCGCGGGAAAAGATCGATAAGAAGTCAAGTCTTAAATAGCGAGTAGAGCGTAAAAAAGTTGAGAATGGTGGTGGATCAATCATTAAATTTAGAAACATCTCATGAGTCATTTAATACCAAAATTTAATTTTCTTGGGAGCTTTGAAGTAATAAAAATAGGATATATGTTATTCTGCTTTCACAGTTGAATACATGGTAATCAAAAAGTGCATAACGAGAGATCACAGAGTCAGACATCCCTGGGCTTCTATATCTGGAAGTCATACTATCAAAGAGTGAAATAAATATTTAGTTTTTGAAATAGCCTCTGTTAACTTCGTTGAACATACGCCCTAGCTCCACAAGCTGGTGGTAACTTGAATCATTGTTTTGATAAGACCGGAGTAGAACTACTTGACTCTTAGGTGCATACAATCAAGGAGTTAGGCCCAGGCATCACCAAACCCTGTACGTCATTGATGGTAGATGATATCTAGTTTTTGTGCATATTGTCCAAATCTTGTTACAACATAATTGTCCATCACGCAAAATGTTAAATATCTAAAAAAAATTTTTCCGGGTTTTCAGATAAGACACTTAGCCATCTTGATACAATTTCTCGCAAAAATCACTGAAAACACCTTTGAGATATTCAGTTAAAAAGAAAGCATGTTAAAATAGTTTTCTGTCAGCCCAACTATGCCATCCCAACTGATCAATGGTGAGAGGAAAAATCATTTAGACCTTCAGTAAAGGTACCAACATACATACTCTGATTCCATGAAGAGAACTGTGAATAAGTTTAAAAAAGAGGGAACAGTAAAGAGAAAAACTGGATCAGGATGTCACAACAGTAAGAGGGATCATCATTTTAACTTAAAGCTAAAGTGACCAATTAGACCAATCAGAAAAGATCCAACTCAATCTATAAGACGTTTGTCACTTGAGAGAGGAGTTTCAGCTATGACAGTCAAAAAAAAAAAAAACTCAATGAAAACAGGCTTAAAAATGAAATCTTACATGGAATGTGTGAGGCATATTGTTACTCCAGGGCATAAAGTTAGAAGGTTAGAGAGGGAGAAGATCATCTTGAATAAGTAGGAAAATGATCCTGGAATAATCCTGGTTCCTGTCACTGGATCTAAACAACGCCTTTATCTACAGTGGATAAAGGCGTTGGACCCAAACAGTGTGAGTTCAATATCCAGTTAAGCCAGTGGAAAACTTGGAGAGGGGAATTAACAGGAGATAACTGATGACTGACATCCATTAAAAACATGGCACGTAGAACTAGAACAGTCTACCCCAGTAAGCGAAATAAAGAGTTCAGGTGGACATTTGAACCACCTGAAGAAGGCCGGAGCGTACAACGGTCGAAACGTTGTAATAAATATGGCGACAAAGATGAGAACAATAGTCCGAATAATGTAAATGGTGTACATAGTGCCTCATAAATATAGACAGACAGTGATATACGCCTTTTCAAAGTTCAGCAAAGTATTAAGAAACATAAATATATCGTTAGAAACAAAGGAAAGAGTACTAAACTGTTATGTAATATCATGACAGTTGTTGTGGGTGGGGTGCCGTACACGCGTATATAGATATATAAACCTCTGAGAATTCCAGTAAGCTATATTTAATCATTCTGCTGTTACATCCGGTGTATATATATATATATATATATATATATATATATATATATATATGTGTGTGTGTGTGTGTGTGTGTGTGTGTGTGTGTGTGTGTATAATGTTATAATTTATGAATATGTCCTGAAGATGGTTTATTAGACCGAAATGTCCGACGTTGACATATTAACATTAAAACAGCTTAATTGTATATAAAGTTTTTTTCCGTATATATTTTTCTTCATACTGTCGGATCTATATCCATATATGCTTATATATATATATATATATATATATATATATATATATATATATATATATATATATATATATATATATAGTCAAACCTAGTAAAGCCAGACAAACCTACTCAGGTTTCACCGAAGCGGATCGTCAGGGAAAGTTGTTTACTCGTGTCGGAGTTTTTTCTCTGGGTTTTGAACCTGTATCTGTGGGATTTTTTCGACAGACTTTCATGTTTCTAGCTCTTTCTTTTTTAAAACCTTTTTTTTTTTTCAAGATTGATTTGATTATTGGCAAATCAAAATTCGAAGTTTTTTCGAGACGTGTATAGTTACCTATATATATATATATATATATATATATATATATATATATATATATATATATATATATATATGTATGTATGTATGTGTGTGTGTGTGGTTGTTCATTGCAGCACGACTACATTGTCCGACACATAGTATTTGAGGTGAGCGCTCACGGATAAAAGCTAACTCCATAAATTAAAGATTTAAATTTCGAAAGTCACTGGTGTCCCTAAACACAGAGTTGACGAAGTCCGATAGAAAGATGGAAAGGTGAAAAAGTTGTATTGATACAAACAAAAAGTCAAAACTGGTCGCCACAAAATATGTCTACGGACAAAAAACGGGAAATCGAATATCAAAAATGACAAACGGACAGACTGTTAAAACGAGAGACAACCCGATAAACAGGTAGCTAGCTAATTTCCCCATCCGCACCACTAGAGACCTCGCGTTATAGAATCCATTGATGTACACGTGAGACTGAACGAGGCTGAATTCGAAAGAAAATGGGTCAGGTTGCATATTTTTAATTTAGTCACGGCTAATTCCTGTCTTGAAATGAGCATCTTTGTTCTGCTTTTTCTCGGGTTGCATTCCGAACAGGAGACACTAAAATGGTCCCGGGTTAAGAGTGAGGGAAAAACATGGAAGACGAGGTGCAAGGAACGGGTGGGCGACGGGTGTTATTGAGGAGGGGAGGTGACGATGATGCAATCGGAAGATTCCTTTTTAAGACATTCTTTAACTTCGCTACCTCTAACTACTCAAAGACAATGTCCCCGGTGTTACGATGTGAGTAAAATTGTATATGAATCAGAAAAAAGGAATCGAATCGATTGACTTCTTGAAGCTCGAGGAGAAGAAATTAAATTCAAAAAAATAAAAATAAATCAAATAAAAATACCTGGGAGGTTTACAATTGAAAATAGATACCAAAATGGATTTTTTAAAAACAGGAATAGAGATGATGGTTAAAAATGGTGTCGGGTATTTTTCTGTGTAAGTTGCCAGGTATTTGGTCGAGGGTATAAACATGGAGATGTCTTAACGCAAGTTTTGTGGGTGGAGGTGCCGTACACGCGTATATATATATATATATATATATATATATATATATATATATATATATATATATATTTACCAAGTTTAGCGTTACAAGAACAAAAGATGTTGGCCAGGAGAGAAAAGATAACCGTAAAGTGCCAATCTTGATTATTCAATATTTTGTATACTGCTGTTGATATAGGAGATCATGACTCTCCACAACTTCCTTTCCGTTATAGTTTTTAATAAGGTTTTTCTTTTTCTATCCCCACCTGTTCTGCCAGCCATTTACGGAAGCTGGTTAGCTTGGCAATTCACTGTTTTCCTCGTGACTTCAATATGTCACGTGAGTAACAAAGTTTCCAAACCGTCTTTCCTCGTTATGTGCTATAGTAATTTCAAATGTCCCTTTCTGATTCTAATTATAAATGTCATTTTTGTTTCCATTTTCTTCAACACATACTCGCTGATCACATATTCTCTACATGTTATTCTCAGCATCCTTCTGTAGAACCACATTTCTGTTACTTCAAGTCTCTTCTTAATCTGTGAGATTTCCCATCATTCATTGCCATATAAGAGGATCGATATTACATAAGAGTTCAGCACACTTTTCTTTGTTTCTAACAAAATTTTCTCCTTTCTTAATACTTTGCTTAGCTTTTGGAAGGCATCTTTTGTTATGCTTTCGGATTTCGGTGTCACATGTTCCATCCTCTTCCAATTACATAATTGGCCCTGATCTGGTATCTCGTCTGCAGTCGCTCTCTCACAGACGTGCTGTCGCCTCTCTCTGTCTTTTTTACAAATACTTTCATGGTAATTGCTCTGCTGAGCTGCTTTCGCTGTTTCCCAAACTTCATGAATTTAAGCGTTCTACTAGGCTTCCACCTCGCTCACACCCTTTCACTGTCGAAACTGTTAAATGTAGCCGTCTCTTCTACTCCAAGAGCTTCATGTCTCGCACCTCTCGCCTGTTGAACTCCCTCCCCTCTCCCTGTTTTCCTGATATCTATAATCTCCAACAATTCAAATGTAAAGTCAATCGACGTCTCCAGACGCCCTGATCTATCCCCTATCCTTCTCTTCATCCTTTCCTCTATCACTCCTCTTTTCTCCCGCTCCAACTCTCTGTAACCCCTTGCGTGCTAGTGACTTCCCGCATTGCTTGGGAAAAAAGTTATTTAAAGTTAAAAATAAAGTTTAAAAACAATTATTTAAATTGTACTTGTTTCATTTTATTGTATCCAATTTGCAGTTCGAAGAGGATTCTGCTGACATCTATACATTATATCTCCCTACAATTGGTGGTTAGTCCTTTCTTCTCACCTTCCTTTGTTGTAGTCTTTTTCCTGTGTCTTCCATCTGCTTAATGTTTGATATTTATAAATGAAAAACAGTTTCTAGATTTAACCATAAATAATTTCCATCCTGTTGCAAAAATAATTAAAACTCTTACATTTTATTTATTTATATACTACTTTTTATTTGCAATGACTTGTTTTCACTTATCAGGCAGCTCTTCGATATATTTTGAGTAAAATCCCTTAAATATTCAAATAAAAACTTTCCGACGAAAGCTTGTTTCTAGTTTTCATGAAATTAATGAAGCCAAGCAGTACAGACAGTCTGTTAAAATGCGGAGAACCACGGAAAATCACAATAATATCATTCACTAAAATCCTGCTCAGAAGAAATGTCCTGGTCTCAAGAAACATGAAACACATTTCAATCCTGATCACAGTAAACTTAACATGCCCGCAGAAAGAGAACATATACCGATATTCATTTCATCATTACAATGTCGGTCTCCAAACATAAACGATAACGAACCTAGTCATGAGGAAATTAAGAAAGCTATTAAAAAAATGGTGTATAATAATGCATCACTCGACATAGACGCTGAACTTTTGAAAATAGTTTATTTTCTCTCTAAATACAATAACAAGTTTCTAGATTCAGAAATCTCATCCTAAAAAGGCATTATCACGCATTAATAAGTTATGGAAAAAGAAAGTTAGTCGTCAAAACCCTAACACAGAGAGATATCGTAATTGGATCCGTCATGATATTAACTAAGTTCTCATTGTTTTATGAACTCGCCACGACCCAGTGTGGTCTTCTGTCTGGTAAGGAATACAATGTTGGCATATATGTCATCCAACAACTCCAAGAAATTGCTTAGCTCTAAGAAGAAATTGTATACCTACTGACGACCTCACAGCAGCATATGACCACATCAACAGAAACTCAGTCTTTTCATCCATTAGAACCCACTTTCCAAATTCTAAATCGACTGAATGTATCGATCTAATAGAGGGATGGTATCGATCTACAGAATCTTACATGTCCGTCGACGACCCCAAAATAAAATACCTGATCAGGGGTACAAGGGAAAAATTACGGCATCAGTCTATTTGATGTTTTCCTAGACTATATGACCTGTGTATTTACAAACACAGATGGGATGAGATGAGCACTGACCAGTTACGCATTCTATATACAACTCAAATGAATTTATCAACGGTCCTAATTTCAGTTCTGAGGCCAACGCACTGAAAATGAAGCGGGAATGTGAATGACAGTGAACAGACAATCAGCATTCTCTATCATGAGTTTCAAGAAATAGAACTCAAGATAAACATAATGGCACATGGCATGACTATGTTTTTTATAACTGATCCATAGTATTTAAAATGTTTACTATTTACTAATTTCATAACTTCAATGATTCTGATATATTCAGAGTATGTGCCATGAGTTCTTTTGCGCCAATCCCAGATCAGATTTGTTTTGGATAGGTTCATCTACACTATTTACATTATTCGGGCCATTGTCCTCATCTTTGTTGCCATATTTATTACAACGTTTCGGCCTTTCAGTATCTGTCTATATTTCTGAGATGAGGTATTATGTACACTATTTACATTATTCGGACTATTGTCCTCATCTTTGTCGCCATATTTATTACAACGTTTCCGCCTTTCAGTATTTGTCTATATTTCTGAGATGAGGTATTATGTACACTATTTACATTATTCGAACTATTGTCCTCATCTTTGTCGCCATATTTATTACAGAGATTAATCTACATTTTTATAAATTTTTTGATGAGGGCAAAATTTAATCGTAAAATGTTTTTTTCCATTTTGCCATAATAAAATCTTTAATAAAAAAAAAAATTGTCTGACTTTTTTTTAAACCATGTATAATAATGTTTTTCTTATTTAAAGTACAAAACAACTAATTTGGGGGTTAAATTAAAAAAAAATATCAGTGTTTTCCTCAGACTTTTGAACTGTAGTGTATAGTAAATCCTGGGAAATCCCAGAAATAACGAAATGACCTTAGTTAACAGAAATATAGACCTACAGAAGGATGCTGAGTATACCATGGATTGAACATATGAATAACGGGGAGATTTTAAGGAAAATTGAAATAAAAAGGACGTCTATAATTAGAATCGTCTTTTATATTTCAATTTCTATTAAAACCTCGTTACTCATATGGGCAGCCATGGCATTCTCAGCTTCCTTCTGTAGAACTACATCTCTATTGAAATAGAATCAGAAAAAGAGGGTTGAATTTCTCGAATGCATAATGAGGAAAGAGGGCTTGGAGAATTTACCCTCACAGTACATATTGGCGGTAACCAGGGCCAGGGGAAAGCTGTGAATAAAATATCTGACGCGTTAACAGAACAATGGGTAGCTGGAATATCAAAAAGACAAAATGTTGTAAGAGCTATAAAGGCCAGGAAATAGTACAAAGTCGTAATCAACCACGTCCTAAAAGGCCATGATGCATAGAATAATAATAATAATAATAATAATAAGATATCACCCTGAAAATAAATAAATACCATCGCAGCTTCTCGCTCAGTCTGACTCTCAAATTGTCTATTCTTAGCCTTCCCTCTGTTTCCTATCGCTCAACGCATCGTCATCTATAACCTTATCATCGGCAACTATTTCCATCTTGATGTGTGGAAACAGCAAGTACTCATGGTCATTTTACGAGTTGTTGAGTTGGCTGTGATCGTCTGTCGAATGTCACACGAGATTTTATAAGATCCGGAAGCTTTTTGCAAGAGAAAAACAGGGGTAAAAAGAAAAAAAAAATATGGGAGAAAGAGAGTGTGTCATGCCAAAATGAAGAACTGTAAAAAATAAATAAATAAATAAATTCAACGAATTTTCGAAAAGAACACCGATAACGGAAAGCTAAAATTGAAAACGAGGACGACTTCCGGTTGTTGATGATGGGAAATTTTTAGTCATAAATTCTTTCGCATATTTTTCATTTCTTTCTTTCTATCGATTTTTCGCTTTTTTTTTTCTTTCGTTTTGTTTAAATCATTTCTTTTGTGTTATTATTTCATTTTCCTTACAATTCTTTTTGGGGTTTTTTTATCATTTCACTCCAAGTAAGGCAATAAATCCACTAAGACGCAAGAGATTATTGAATGTTAGAGAATATAAGAACATTAACATTATTAAGCAGAGAGGACAATAAAAGAACAAGAATTAAGGAGACAAAAGATAACGATTGGATTTGTATTTAAATTTTTGTCAGTAAATATCAGGTTAATCGACCCGATAATGTAGTAACTGTGAAATCAATGAATGTTTTGATTTTATCATTATTATTATTATTATTATTATTATTAAAAAGTATTCTTCAGATATTTTTTTTATCATTTCATCCCCACAAGGCGATAAAGCCACTAAGACACAAAGTGTTACAGAGTGTGAGAGAATATGAGAAAGAAAAACACTATAACGGAAAAGGAACAATAATATAACACGAATTAAGAAGACAGAAGATAACGGTTGACATTGCATTTCAACTTTTTTTAAAAATCAAAATTGACTGGGAAGCAAGAAGCCGGAAGAGAGTTCCACAAGCGAGAAGTGCGAGAGAAGAATTTGTTATCATAGAACTTACGGTTAAACCTAGCCATGCTGCCCATCTATTTCTGAGATGCCAGGTCAGGACCGATAACATTGCAGATTCTTCTTTGCATTTTATCAAGCATCTCTAAATACATGCCAAAAGTACCAGATCAGATGTGGCAATAATATTCGAAGCAAGGACGAATGGTAGACTTATAAATATGTAAGATAGATTCTGGCTAGAAAAATTGTCTAGCATGGCAAAGTGAACATACTTTACTAACAACAGACCTGTTAATTGATTTAACATGATTATTTCATTTCATATCAGCGAAAAACATTTACCCGGGAAGGCACGAGTCACCCTCCTGTTGGTTAGCATCAGCCATGTCGATGGAAGACAGAAAGAAGTCTCTCAGATGATTAAAAGAGAGCAGTTTTGCTATTGAAGCGTTAAAATGAACAAGCCATTTCCTCTCTCATTTTTTGCTTTGGTTTTCCTTTCCTTTTTTTGTAATTTCTTTCGCTTTCAACTCTTTATTTTGTTTATTTAATTTACTTCAATTCGCATTTGTTTTTTTTATTAATTTATACTCATTCCTCGACGCTACACATTCTCCATTGTATTAAAGGAAGAGGCTCAGACAATTTCACGTGTTAATTATATTTGCTTTGTTTTTTTCTCACTTTCTTTTTTTTTCTTATTTATCTCTTCTTTCCTATTCTTTCTTTTTTTGATTTCTCTTCTTTTTCTTCTTGATCTTCTTTCTTTCTTTCTTTCTTTCTTTCTTTCTTCCTTCTTTGTGGATTCTTTTCTTTTTCTCCTTTATCTTTTTCCTTTCTCTCTTCATTCTTTGTCACTTCTCTTCTCTTTCTGTTTTATCTTCTTTCTTTCTTCCTTCTTTGTGACTTCATCTTCTTCATCTTCTTTCTTTCTTTCTTTCTTTCTTTCTTCCTTCTTTGTGACTTCTCTTTTTTTCTTCATTCTTTCTTGTTTTCTTTCTTTCTTCTTAGTGGATTCTTTTCTTTTTCTTCTTTTTCTTCTTTCTTTCTTCCTTCTTTGTGACTTCTCTTCTTTTTCTTCTTTTCCTTCTTTCTTTCTTTCTTCTTTCTTTGTGACTTCTCTTCTTTTTCTTCTTTCGTTCTTTCTTCCTTCTTTGTGACTTCTCTTCTTTTTCTTCTTTCTTTCTTTCTTTTTTTCTTCCTTCTTTGTGACTTCTCTTTTTCTCTTCTTTCTTTCTTGTTTTCTTTCTTCTTTGTGGATTCTTTTCTTTTTCTTCTTTTTCTTCTTTCTTTCTTCCTTCTTTGTGACTTCTCTTCTTTTTCTTCTTTATCTTCTTTCTTTCTTTCTTCCTTCTTTGTGACTTCTCTTCTTTTTCTTCTTTCTTTCTTTCTTCCTTCTTTGTGACTTCTTCTTTTTCTTCTTTCTTTCTTTCTTTCTTCCTTCTTTGTGACTTCTCTTTTTCTCTTCTTTCTTTCTTGTTTTCTATCTTTCTGCTTTGTGGATTCTTTTCTTTTTCTTCTTTTTCTTCTTTCTTTCTTCCTTCTTTGTGACTTCTTTTTCTTCTTTCTTTCTTTCTTCCTTCTTTGTGACTTCTCTTCTTTTTCTTCTTTTTCTTCTTTCTTTCTTTCTTCCTTCTTTGTGACATCTCTTCTTTTTCTTCTTTCTTTCTTTCTTCCTTCTTTGTGACTTCTCTTCTTTTTCTTCTTTCTTTCTTTCTTCCTTCTTTGTGACTTCTTCTTTTTCTTCTTTCTTTCTTTCTTTCTTTCTTCCTTCTTTGTGACTTCTCTTCTTTATCTTCTTTCTTTCTTTCGTTCTTCCTTCTTTGTGACTTCTCTTCTTTTTCTTCTTTCTTTCTTTCTTCCTTCTTTGTGACTTCTCTTCTTTTTCTTCTTTCTTTCTTTCTTCCTTCTTTGTGACTTCTCTTCTTTTTCTTCTTTCTTTCTTTCTTTTTTTCTTCCTTCTTTGTGACTTCTCTTTTTCTCTTCTTTCTTTCTTGTTTTCTTTCTTTCTTCTTTGTGGATTCTTTTCTTTTTCTTCTTTCTTTCTTTCTTCCTTCTTTGTGACTTCTCTTCTTTTTCTTCTTTCTTTCTTTCTTCCTTCTTTGTGACTTCTTCTTTTTCTTCTTTCTTTCTTTCTTTCTTTCTTCCTTCTTTGTGACTTCTCTTCTTTTTCTTCTTTATCTTCTTTCTTTCTTTCTTCCTTCTTAGTGACTTCTCTTCTTTTACTTCTTTCTTTCTTTCTTCCTTCTTTGTGACTTCTTCTTTTTCTTCTTTCTTTCTTTCTTTCTTTCTTCCTTCTTTGTGACTTCTCTTTTTCTCTTCTTTCTTTCTTGTTTTCTTTCTTTCTTCTTTGTGGATTCTTTTCTTTTTCTTCTTTTTCTTCTTTCTTTCTTTCTTCCTTCTTTGTGACTTCTCTTCTTTTTCTTCTTTATCTTCTTTCTTTCTTTCTTCCTTCTTTGTGACTTCTCTTCTTTTTCTTCTTTCTTTCTTTCTTCCTTCGTTGTGACTTCTCTTCTTTTTCTTCTTTTTCTTCTTTCTTTCTTTCTTCCCTCTTTGTGACTTCTCTTCTTTTTCTTCTTTCTTTCTTTCTTACTTCTTTGTGACTTCTTCTTTTTCTTCTTTCTTTCTTTCTTTCTTTCTTTCTTTCTTCCTTCTTTGTGACTTCTCTTCTTTTTCTTCTTTTTCTTCTTTCTTTCTTTCTTCCTTCTTTGTGACTTCTCTTCTTTTTCTTCTTTATCTTCTTTCTTTCTTTCTTTCTTCCTTCTTTGTGACTTCTCTTCTTTTTCTTCTTTTTCTTCTTTCTTTCTTTCTTCCTTCTTTGTGACTTCTCTTCTTTTTCTTCTTTATCTTCTTTCTTTCTTTCGTTCTTCCTTCTTTGTGACTTCTCTTCTTTTACTTCTTTCTTTATTTCTTCCTTCTATGTGACTTCTTCTTTTTCTTCTTTCTTTCTTTCTTTCTTTCTTCCTTCTTTGTGACTTCTCTTCTTTTTCTTCTTTATCTTCTTTCTTTCTTTCTTCCTTCTTTGTGACTTCTCTTCTTTTACTTCTTTCTTTCTTTCTTCCTTCTTTGTGACTTCTTCTTTTTCTTCTTTCTTTCTTTCTTCCTTCTTTGTGACTTCTCTTTTTCTCTTCTTTCTTTCTTGTTTTCTTTCTTTCTTCTTTGTGGATTCTTTTCTTTTTCTTCTTTTTCTTCTTTCTTTCTTTCTTCCTTCTTTGTGACTTCTCTTCTTTTTCTTCTTTATCTTCTTTCTTTCTTTCTTCCTTCTTTGTGACTTCTTTTCTTTTTCTTCTTTCTTTCTTTCTTCCTTTTTTGTGACTTCTCTTCTTTTTCTTCTTTATCTTCTTTCTTTCTTTCTTTCTTCTTTGTGACTTCTTTTCTTTTTCTTCTTTCTTTCTTTCTTCCTTCTTTGTGACTTCTCTTCTTTTTCTTCTTTTTCTTCTTTCTTTCTTTCTTCCTTCTTTGTGACTTCTTTTCTTTTTCTTCTTTCTTTCTTTCTTCCTTCTTTGTGACTTCTCTTCTTTTTCTTCTTTCTTTCTTTTTTCCTTCTTTGTGACTTCTCTTCTTTTCCTTCTTTTTCTTCTTTCTTTCTTTCTTCCTTCGTTGTGACTTCTCTTCTTTTTCTTCTTTATCTTCTTTCTTTCTTTCTTTCTTTCTTCTTTGTGACTTCTTTTCTTTTTCTTCTTTCTTTCTTTCTTCCTTCTTTGTGACTTCTCTTCTTTTTCTTCTTTTTCTTCTTTCTTTCTTTTTTCCTTCTTTGTGACTTCTCTTCTTTTTCTTCTTTCTTTCTTTCTTTCTTCCTTCTTTGTGACTTCTCTTCTTTTTCTTCTTTTTCTTCTTTCTTTCTTTCTTCCTTCTTTGTGACTTCTCTTCTTTTTCTTCTTTCTTTCTTTCTTCCTTCTTTGTGACTTCTCTTCTTTTTCTTCTTTTTTCTTCTTTCTTTCTTTCTTCCTTCTTTGTGACTTCTCTTCTTTTTTTTTTTCTTCTTTCTTTCTTTCTTCCTTCTTTGTGAGTTCTTTTCTTTTTCTTCTTTCTTTCTTTCTTCCTTCTTTGTGACTTCTCTTCTTTTTCTTCTTTTTCTTCTTTCTTTCTTTCTTTCTTCTTTGTGACTTCTCTTCTTTCTTTCTTTCTTTCTTTCTTCTTTCTTTGTGACTTCTCTTCTTTTTCTTCTTTATCTTCTTTCTTTCTTTCTTCCTTTTTTGTGACTTCTCTTCTTTTTCTTCTCTCTTTCTTTCTTCCTTCTTTGAGACTTTTCTTCTTTTTCTTCCTTATCTTCTTTCTTTCTTCCTTCTTTGTGACTTCTCTTCTTTTTCTTCTTTCTTTTCTTTCTTTCGATCTTTCCTTAAGTATTTCTTTGTTAGTTTTTGTGACTTCCCTTCTGTTCGTTATTCCTTCTTTCTTTTTTTCTTTCTTTCTTTCTTTCTTTCTTTCTTTTCCCCCTTTTCTCTTCCTTTTTTCTTGTTTTTTTTTTCTTGCTATTCCTTCTTTGATTCCCCCTCTCTTCTCCTCTCCTCGTTTTATTTCCCTCCGCATTTCTTTCTCTATTTTTTCTTTCATTTTTTTCTTTTCCTTCGATTTGTCTTTTTAAATGTTTTTTAGTCGCCGTCTTCTTTCTTTCTTTTGTTTCCCCCTCCTTTTTACTTTTTGTTTTTGTATCCTTCCTTCATTCATTCTTTCTTTCATTCTTTCATTCTCTCTTTCTTTCATTCTTTCTTTCCCTCCTTGTTTCCTTCTTTCTTTTTTTTATTCATTCTTTCCTTCCTTTTTTCGTCCTTTCCTTCCTTGTTTCTCCCCTTCTTTCATTTATTATTTCCTTCTTTCTTTTCTTATTTATTCTTTACTTTTTTCTTTCTTTTTTTCTTTCTTTCTTTCTTTCTTTCTTTCTTTCTTTCCTTCCTTCCTTACCTCGTTTATTTCTTCTTTCTTTGTTTCCTTTTATTTCTTTCCTTATTTTCTTCCTTTCTTCCTTCCTTCCTTCTGCCTTTTTTCTTTCTTTCTTCCTTCTTCCTTTTTCTTTCCTTCTATCTTTCTTTCTTTACTTCTTGCTTTCTTTCTTTCCTTCTTTCTTTCTTTCTCGTCTTTCTTTCTTTCATTCTTTCTTTCTTAGATTTTCACGTTTATTCTGATTTTATTTTTACTTGCGAAATAAATCAATCACATAAAATCAATTCTGAAATTCCCTTGACTGAAATTTCTCAACTTTGATTTCAAATTCCTCAAATCCGCCCATTCCGAGGTCCAAAAATAAAATCAATCGAAGAAAAAGTCACCATCTTGTAATAAACAACCAAGTCTTTCGCTAGCACGAAGGGAAACAGAATAAATTAATTGAATTAAATTCTACAACTGCTCGTGTTTCTTTCATCCCACATCCGGTAAATTCAATAAGCAATCAATTAGATAAAAATAAATAATTAAACATCTTATAAGCCATGGCAGAATAACAACCTTGGCATCGAAACTGAAGACCCTCTCAGACGTCCTGACTTATCCGTCTAAAGAAATTATGCCACAAAGCAAAGAGGCCCGTACTGGTTTACCTTTACAGTGGTGTCAGTCAAGGTGTTAAGCTGAATTTTTCCTTTTCGATTGGCAAGCGATGAGAATGAATAAATAATGCGATTGGACGAAAATGTCTAATTTGTTAAATAAACAGCCAATCAGAGAACAAGGCTAATGCAATAAAAGACGTGTCTCGTTTGAGTGATAGAAAGGGCGGGAGAATAAGAAAGGATAAGACAGAATACAGAGGCTTATGGCTGTATTTAACGGTGTTGGGTTGATGTTCAATGTTAGGGTGATTATAAATTGATATGGCGGTTATGTGAATGGTGTTTGCAAACGATAGTCATGGTTAGAGTAATGGTGTTTGTGGTGTGATACCCAACTAAAAATAGCGTAATAGCGAGAAACAGTAAAATAGAAAGAGATTATGTATTAGCAGTAAAATGGCGGACTGTTTTCTTTTCTCTCTCTTTAATAACTGATTAGCTATAATGGAATTAGCAGTAATTTTATACTAAAATTTATTCAATATAAGATTCCTGAGATACTGGAGGTTATAGATAAAACAGTAACAATGAAAGATATGTACTGTTACAGCTACCGAGTTTTTTTTTTCTTTTGGGAAAGACAACTCAATTTTACTATATGTATTGATTGCCATTTTGCTATAAAGACCAACAATACATTTTTAAAAAGACCAACAATACATTTTTAAAGCAAAATGTCTTATATAGTAGACATAACAACAATACATTTTATAATAAATTGACCAACGATACATTTTTATAGCAAAATGAAGAACAATTTTTCTTTAAAAATGTATTGTTGGTATTTTTACTATAAAACAACGTTTTTATTTGAGGGACTCACTATTTTCCCTATAGCGGGTATCCTAACAGGTGCTACCACAACGTGTCAGGGTGAACCTGGAAAAAAGCATTTAAGATGTGGTTCTACACCCCTCAAAACCTCTAACCTCCCTATCAGTGGACTTGCTGCCGGATGTAGTCTATCGTCATACCCAGGACACAGAATAAAACAGGTAAGTGTTCAACTGTTAAGTGTTTAGGAGAAACTGTTAATGTGGAACCTCTTTCTATTAAATTTGCTTTATTGTTTGGTTTAGCGTTACATAACGCTACATAAACATATAGACTATTTAATTAAGTAAACCCTGAGTTTGCAGTAAAATATTTAATAGTGTCAGTTGCTGCAAACATTAATACAACAAAGGGATATCAACAATCAATATCTACCTGTGTAGGGATCTTATTAAAGAAACGTTTATTATTATTCTTCTCTGTGTCGGACCCGTCCAGAACATTGGCGATCATTGCTCTCCCCAATTTCCTGTCCTTTGTAGCGATTAATAACTTTTGTCTTTTTGTCGTCACTCCCAAACTCTGCTCCGCCATTCAGTCACTTAAGTTTACCCAATGGTCATGCGTTGTTTTCCTTTGTCCCGTGAGTATCAAAATTTCCAAGCCATCTTTCCTCGTTGTGTGTCTTAGAAACTTAAACTTTCTCTTTCTGATGTTAAATATAAGTGTTATTTTTGTATCCATTTTCTCTAAAACATCGTATGTTTAGTCCTTGGTATTCTCAGCATCCTTCTGTAGAACTATATTTCTGTTGCTTCAAGTCTATTCTTTATCTTTGAGGAGATTTTCCAGCATTCACTGCCATATATGGGCTACCCCATTTGCTGACAACCATGCATTCTGTCTTCTTGTAATTAGGGATTAGTCCTTTCTTCTCACTTTCTTTTACTACCTTCTATAGGAGTTTTTTGTAGTTTTATTTCCGTGTCTGCTATCAATATTGAGTCATCTGAATAAATAAATCCTGGTAGGATTTCAAATTCTCTCAGAATCATTTCACTGTATAGGTTTAATAAGTAAAAGTTATTAGTTGTTGAGAAAAATAGCTGATGTTTCGGTTCGAAGTTAAACGTCGGAAATTCTTAACGTGGGTATATGCATTTCCTGAATAGGGTAATTTAGTCTTCCTTTCCTGTGATAGTACGCATTGTTAAAATATTATAATCGATAAGCAGATGCAGTGTTTTTAATTCGCTTGTTAAAAATATTATACAAATAAAGAGATAAACTTAAATTTAACTATTCAAACGTGTGACGGAATGAAAAAAAATCACATGCATTATACCTTTTCATTATAAAATGTGCAGGTAGGGAAATCGTTAGCGGCTCGGAAATAAAAGACGACAAACCGAGTTCGAATTCCTGTCGAGGTCGTTACATTCACGCAAATGCACATGTAGGGAGTAAAATGTCGATTATATCACTTTGGACAAGATGAATTTACGACGGCCCCAGGGATTGAACTCAGTTTGTTTGGGGCGCCATCAGGAACTGATGTAGACCGCTTGGACACAGCACTTCAGCGACTGGGAGAACAAAGGAATCCATATGGTACCACGAAGGACATAGAAGATAGCATTGGCCTTGCCATTTTCGTCTTTAGAAATATTACAAGTAAGACCGACTGGCTTCTCGCTATTTCAAACTACTTGTTGTATTCAAATGTTATATGATATATTTTCTCTGAAACAAATAGAGACAACTATATATTTTAAGACATTTTTATGTTTATACATTCTTTTTATAGATACAAATATTTAAGTATCTATAAAAAGAATGTATAAACATAAAAAATGTCTTAAAATAATTGTCAGACTTTGTCCATTTCATAATGTGTGACGTCATCTGTTTACATTTGATACGCCATGAGCAGATATGAATGTACGTGAGAGAATCATGGGAAGTTTAAATACAGTAAATTCGACCTTGCTAACCGAATATATATGTATGTATCTAAGGAAAGAATAGTCAGATTTATAATCCAGAGTTCTTTAGCATTTATTTTTTAATACACAGTAGAGAAAATATCATAATATTATTATGTAAAAATATGTATTCATCACGACACAGAGATTGCCATGTTCTGAACCAAAACCTAAACATTGAATTAAACTTAAAATCAAAGATTTTGTTCCATTCTCAAGGGATGTTGAATAACTTTCGAAAACGATTTTTTTTTTCAAATTTGTTTAATCTAGAGTTTAGTTTTTAGTTACGAAACATGGTAATTTCTGAGTCGCGATGAATACATATTTTTGAACAATAATATATATATATATATATATATATATATATATATATATATATATATATATTATTAAATATAACAGACAATGAATGTATATTATGTTTGATCATGAGCCATATATTTCGTATATTTGCTTTAACTTCGGTGAAAATAAAGACAAAAATTGTCCAACATTTGGATATATTTTTAATACGCTGTTCCTTGATCTAAGCTTTCGGTTCACATGGGCCATCTTCAGGGTGGTTATACGGAGATTTAAACAAATATATTCACCATCAAATATGATATTCTGTTATATTGATATAGAAGATATCAGTACACATAGTTATAAATAATTATTGACCGGTTTTATCATTGTGATATTTTTGCATTATATCAAGTATTAAGAATATAGTAACGGTGGTCCGCAAATTGGAGGAGAGAGTTATCAATGATAATGTTCTGACTTCGAATCCGAGGTTATCTCCCTTTAACCCACACTCTGTTTTTTTGTTTTTTTTTTGTTTTGTTTTAAATATACTATTCAGCACATAAAATTTGATGGGGCGTAAATTTTCATTTTGAAAATATGGCCTAGAGAAAAAAAAACCCGTTTGGGAACTACTACCTCAACGTAACCCTCTACCTTGAGTGACCTCCAGGCCTTGTACAGGTCGAACCTTACTGTAAAGAAAAAAAAAACAAAAGCCTACCTGTGCTATCATATTTTTAAACAATCCGAAATATGCGAACATCTATGGCGGCAATCAGGATTGTTTGAAAGCGGCAAAGCCAATGATAACAGAATCAATGTAAAAACGAAGATATCAGTTTGGGTAAGAACGTTCATACGATATTAACAGTGGACAAGATGCCGGACAAAGAGGCGATGATCATAATATAGCTTTTGGTAATGGGACTGATTAGGTGGGGGGCTGTCGTTAGCGTAATGCTTTAATGGTAATGGTAAGAATAGAGAAAGGAAGCGGCGTCTGCAAGTGCCAATCACGATTGCTGATGATTGGATTCAGAGAATGAATTGTGTTTGTGCAAGCCCTTTCCTACTTCACCTGCTGGAATATCCTTCAACGG